AAAATTTTTTTTTTTTTTTTTTTTTTTTTGGGGGGGGGGGGGGTGCGGTGGGGAGAAGGGAGGAAAAGGAAGTAATTGACAAGACGCAGAGTGAACTAAAAAACAAAACAAAACAAAACCAAACCAAACCAAACCATTTAGTTTACTACAAATCAGAGGAGCACAGCAGAGACTGAATGTTTTCCTGATGGAAAGTATGTGAGTTTTTGTAACCAAGATGACAAAAAAAAGCCTGTTTCTCAAATGTGGGTCTGGGAGACTAAATAGCAGGATGAAGCTGTACCAAAACAGCTCTTTTCATGACCTTAAAAAAAAAAAAAATCTCATGAGGAATTCTTTCTTTTTTATCTAGCAATTTTAAAGGTCCAAATAGCTTCTTGAAAATTTTATTTATTTGATTTAAAAACACTACCACCCAGTCTACACACGGTCCAAAAAGGAAGTATTAGGCTTGTTCAGGGCAATATATCCACTGGACTTATGGATTACAACTCTAATGCAAGGTCTTGGGTATACTATATTTAAAGCTAAGATTTTGTCACAGTGGCAAGGAAACCATTAATCAGGACGTAGGCCACCACACTAAGTTAGAATGGAAAAACACAACAGACAAAGGGATGTAGTTCAACCAGGGGTGCTAGCTTCTAGAAAAAGAGTGGGCACACCAGCCTTCTGAACTACTCCCATGAGACAATACTCCGTACTAGCGAAATGCCCTCAGTAGGATCATTTAGCTGCTGTACACATGCATCAGACTTGCTTGGCAACCTTTCTATGAATACTCCTGCCTCCCTTTTCCTTCCCTCCCTCCCTCCCCCAAACTTACTATTACAGTGCCAAAAATCTTATCCTTAATTATATACAGTCAGGTATCTATCAAAGGGTAGATGTGTCAAACTACCTCATTCATACAGATCACTCTCTCAGAAGACTGTTTAATATATTGACTAGCCATCTTCCCTCATATATAGGTCACAGAGACTAATTAGGGATTCAGTACAGCCTTATTTAACAGGAATTTTAACATTTCTGCTGATTTGATGGCATAACATTCATTAACCATGTTAATACTAAGCATGCCTCTTAAATTTGGGACTGAAAGGCATATGAAGAACATTTTGGAGAAAATAACGTCTTATAGGTTTTCAGCTGTGGATCAAAATTTTTCACTGTTAATCTTCCATATTCTAAAAACCAAACCAAAACAAAACAACAACAAAACCCTCCAGAATAGTTAAGGTCACATGAAGATTTGTATTAGAGCACTTCCTACATATGAACCCAAATGTTTAGTTTCCTCCTATACATTAACACATTTATTCAAGAAAGGATGGATGAATAAATAAATGAATGAATAATAAGAAGAAAAAAGTTCTCTCATCACCCAATATTCAAGTGGAAGACAAAGTAAGTTAGAATCACTAGTAGTAAAATGGAAGTATTTTCTAAACACATCATGGGTTTTTAGTAGATTCCCAGTACCAACACCAGATGCAAGAAAAACTGAGACCAATGACCATCAAATGAACCTGAACCTCTTGTTGCTTTGGCCAAGGAATAAAGTCTAGTCTCATAAATTTATTCTACCAGTTATAGCAATATATTACCATAGACTGTATTTAATAATCAGATCTTTAAAAGACCCTATACTACATACCAAATTTACCTCCCTGCCCCAGGGTCCAGCATAACTGCTAACTGAAAAACAATAAAATACATAAACACTCAGCCTAAGCTTAGAGAGGCAACAATAATGCTCCTAACATTCTCCCTAGCCTACACTTCTTCTGACTCAAAGAGATAGTCCCACCTCCTTTAGTTCCTATTTGGAGATGAAGAGATGCACCTGGCTGCATAAATTAGCAGTAATTACCCTGAATTTTAAAGCACCTGGAACAGGAACAACTAACAGAAGAGGTTTGTACATACAAGGGTTCTAATCTGCTATCCTATTATCTTCTATCTCTGCATATTGTCTAGCAAGAAGGAGGAGCAGGGATTGAATCTGTTTTTTCTAAAAAGGAATTACAAACTTTTAATATTTTCTATCACGGTGGTGAGGGACCATAATCCCGTACTGAAGCAGAAAAGGAAGAAAAATTCCTTTCTACAAGCTCATAAGTTAAGATACACCTATCCATCAGGAGTCCAAACAGGATAATTGTCAAACTAGAGAATGGAGAGGGCACCAAAGAATAAAATAACTACTAGATCTACAGTTGGGCAGATAACACCAAAAGGGCAGCAACCATTTATCCACACCCAGTCTATAGACTGAAAGTCTAGCCCCTGCCAGACTGTAGCACTACAGCCATGTGGCCTGTGCAGGTTGGTAGGATGATGAATCCCATCTAAAATTAGCCTCTCATACAAAGACAAATTTACACTTTCACTCTATGCAGGGTAACACATTTATTTTCTAGTGCACAACCCAGTTACCTATTCAGGGAAAATCTGCACAACAATGCTTAAGATGGTCTAAAATTATGCCATAAATACACCTAATAACTATTTAAAAAAAGCAGTGAAGCTCTTCTATTCCCAGAGCTGCTCACTTCTAGGTGTATTAAGAGCTCTCTCTAAAATAAGCAGATAGATTAACAGACAGGAGACAGCAAAAACTAATCTCAGTCTGGTCCATGTTACAGGGTCAGAAGCTCAGTGTTTCACATTTGGTCATATCCACTCACTGCTTCTAGTTAAAAGAGCATCCAGTAACTTCCTTTATTTATATAACACCTAAAGAGTAGTAACACTTCCTGTAACAGGAGTCAGTGGATATCTTCTACTATCATGTGATAAGGCATTCTCTTACAACTCTGATCCATGTAATGTTACTAAAGACAGGAAACCAAGACCATTTTCTTAGCAGCACTCAATTTGTCACAAGAGCTTTACACTACCGCCTTATTCAAACCACAGCTGCTTCAAATGAAGCAATACATGTTTGAAATTGGGCAGAAGGCAGGGTGGTGTTGCACCTAATAGACTAGCTAAATCAAACATAGCATAGGCTTTTGTAAGCAGCAAGCTTATTTCTTCATCAGATGCTGTGAAGGGACACACTTGATGAAGTAAGCCTGCTGCTTATGAAAGCTCATGCTATACATATCTCATTTAGTTAGTCTTTAAGGTATAAATCTACTCTTCCTTCTTCCTGTGTTTAGACTAAGGTGGCTCATTACCCACCTATGCTCACTGACCCCACCACTCAGCTGAATGAAATAGACTGCAAGCAAACTATACAAGAAACTTGCTCAGGTACACTGATTTTCTTTCTTGACAAATGAAAGCAGATGAATATCATACCAAAGGGATTCCAGGCAACCCATCTACTCTGTTCTACATACCATTCAGCCTTTTCTGACAAGCTTTACTCTCTCCAAGAAACTGAGGAACCACCTTAATGTTCTGTACATCAAACAAAACCACCCAGACATAACAGTAGTTTACCAAGAAGAAATGCATGCATCTAACCATGAAGCCCATCACAAACACCTTTTATTTCTTCAAGATGTCCCTTCATAGCATCTGATAAAGTCCACTGCTTACAAAAGCTTATGCTATAAATCTCTGATTTAGTCCAGAACAAGGGTGGGCAATAATTTGGGCTGGAAGGCCACTTAAGGAGTTTTGGTGAGCAGTTAAGGCCAGGGGGATGCAGCCCCAGCCCCAGCCCCCCATCATGGCTATTTACGCTGCTGGGTACAAATGGGGGAAAAGGGATACAGGGCGATGCCAACTGATCCTATCCAGCCCTGTGCCCATCTGCCCTGTACCTATCACCAGGGATGCTGGAAGAAGTGGGGTGCGTCTTCATGGAGACTGGCCTGGGACCCCTACAGGCAAGGTACACTCAGGCAGACAGGATGGGGCCACAGGCAGGTGGGAAGTGGCATCCAGGAGTGGGATGTGTGAGCAGGTCTGATCATGGGGTGGTGGCAGCATAAGGCTGGGGCCCAGGGCAGAACCACAATCCACTCCCCACAAATCCCTGCAACAGGCACTAGTTTGGCAGGCAGGAGCTAGCTGGTGCTACCCACAGAACCAGTGCCCATCACAGGGACATGCAGGAAGCAGATCACAGCTCTGCTCTGGGCCCTGGCTCCTCACTGGCTCATGATCCCATCCCTGCTCACCCATCCCACACCCAGATGCCGCTCTCCGCCCACCCACCTGCAGCCCTATCCCATCCCATCCTCTCAGCTGAGTGTGCCCTGCCTGAGGGGGTCCTGAGCCAGCCTCCATGGAGACCCCACCAGCTCGCCCACTCCATCTGGTGCCCCAGCAGTAGGTGCAGGCTAGACAGGCTGGGGTGCCCAGGCAGCAGGGCTGGGTCTGGCAGTGGCAGCGCAGATGCTGGCAGTGTGACGGCAGAATAAGCCACCACTCCGGGGGCTGCCAGGAAGCCAAGTCTAGCTGCTGTGCCACCCCTGCCCCACTTCCCAACCCTACAGACTACAGCTCCCAATGTGCCTGAGAGCCACACATGGGGCCACGCCAGGTGGCACCTCTGCTCCTGGGGGCAGCAGGACCTACCATGGGCTGGAGAGAAATCACTTGACAGGCTGTATTGTGCCTAACCCCGTCTAGAAAGTGCAAAGCTACATTGCCTTCTACACACTTGCCATTGAGAATCTACACATTCATAACTTGCACACTTTAGCCCAGTGATTTTCAGCCAGGGTGCTGCAGTACCATGGGATGTCTTGAGATCCTTTCAGGTGTGCCATGCAATATTACCACTGTTAAGTGTGTAGACATGATTCACAAGATAAACCCAAATAATTTCAAATAAGAACCCACAATGTTAAAAAAGATCTACCCAGTGTAGTCTTTCCACGTTCTTTTGAAATCAAAATCACTGTTATATTTCCATAGTCAAAAAATACATTGTGGAAATGGGATAGTAATACTATAATAGTCATCTCAGATTAGAATACAACCTTAAAAGTACAAGTCCTGATCTTGTAAGAAGATCTGCTTAAATGGACCCTAACTAACAAAGCACTACTGAATCAAGTTCAAAGACCAAAAACCAAAATGAACAAGTGTCTAGCCTTAATGATAAGTTTGCAGAAGTGGAGCCCAAGTCCCAATTCTGCAATATCTCCATTATGCCCTAGACTGTCAGAATGGTACCAAAAGGAATTTATTTTTTATATGGAAAATTCTCATCTCTCTTCTATATTTCTCATCATCAAATTTTATTTGTACCACTGACAGAGTTTAAACAAAAGATTGTACCAGTCCATTTGCTCTTCCTACTTGCACCTATAGCAAAACCAAACAACTGACTCTGAAAATTTTTCTGTATCAATGGGGATATGATACACTTAATCAAACTTCTAGGAAAAACTGGATAATGAGGAAGAGAGAGGTTCATTCAACAAAAATAATAAAATAAATAGAACAACAGGCAACGTTGTATTATCTTTTCCTTATTTACACTAAGGTGAATTCTCTATATAAAAGTATTATTAGTGTAATAAACCTGAATTAATGTTTTTAATGTTACAAATATGGTATAGTTTTGCTCAAAAAACCCCAAAACAAATATTTGTCTACAAGCCTGAGAAACCCCCTAGAAAAGAGGTAGAGCTCTGAGGCAGAGTAGAAAACTGTATGCCACTACAATCCTAAAGACAATGCCATCTCAAATAAAATAATGTTTCTTACACCTGGGTTATTTTCTTACTAAAACTCTGGCTAAGTGCACTCAAATTGCCAAGTCTGCAACACAAGACATCTGTGAATGTTCATTTCAGACTGCTCAACCAGCTGAATATGCTGAGAGCACACCAAGTGATCTGCTTCAAACATGACAAGCACCACTAAACTAGGTTATCCTCATTCTGAAAAATATAATCCAAAATGTTGATGCATTAGCACAAACATCATTTACCCATTTTGCACAGATGTGCTGTGTGTTTCTGAATCATCACTATCGCTGATGACAATAGTGTCTCCATCAGTGCTGTTGATATGGCCATTAGCCATTCCATTGTGATGTGTTGGAGGTATGACTTCCAAAATCTTGCACTGCAATCTGGAAAGTAAAAACATTTTATAAACATAAAATTACTCCGCTGATGCAAAAAAGTCAGAATTCATTCACCAATTTTGAAAGGTAAATTTTTAATGCAACACCATCTTGTCTACTGCAAAAATTAAAGAAAAAAGTTACTAGATAGTATATGAATTCTATTATGCTACATATAACAAATAAAATGTGTAAAAGTGCAAATTTACCTACTTATATATATACACACACCAACTTGACCAATCAGGGTAGCAAATTATGAGAATGTAAGCAAAATCATATTATTACATGCAAAGCAACTTTGTTTACTTAGATGTCTTCTTACAGTTTAGTTTGCAATCAATGGCAGTAAAAGCTTTTTTACTTATTTTGTCCAAATGACAAAAAATGAAGTTGTTTAAAAGCATGTTAGTTGTTACTTAGAAATCAGATAGTTACAGAAACCTTTTACATTAATTTATACAGTAACCTAAGGAGAAAACACAGGATTTTGTGATGCCAAAGAATTTATGCTAGAAGATCATCCTCCACTATGTTGATGACCTAAATAAACAAAGCTAAAATGATCATGTGTATCTAATCTTTATAATGGCCGATTTTATCTCCTGACACACATTACAGCTCCATCTGGCGCGCGCACACTTGACAAAAAAGCAAATCCATTCCTTTGCTACCATAAATGCTAGTTAATTAATATTGTTCCTTTAAAAATTATGTTATGAAAAATGCATAATTGACACGCATTTAACATAATGGATAAATATATCATAAACAATATTTAACAACTTACTTCCATCCTTTCCTGGAACTTCTAGGTAGTTATTTTTAGCATAATCTCTCAGAACCTATCTGCACCATAACAATTATTCATTGCACACAACAGATGTTGTCTAACATTGTAACTAAGTATAACCAAGTCCTTAGTCCGTGTGTGTGTGCACACACATGTGGAGGCAAGGTAAGACGACAAGTGTACTAACAGATCCTTCTTTTCAAATTATTCTGAACTGCAACCTTAAGGCATGATCATCCCCTTGAAGTGGGAATATGTGAACACGTCTAGAAGGATAATTAGAGATCACTTCATTTAAAAGATTAATACTGGGTACACATCAATACATTTTAAGAGAGGCTGATTCCTACATTGGTTTTGGCCAGAACTACCCCCCATTACAGAATGCTACCCTCTGAAACACTAACTCACTAAAAACACAGAGACCATGTAATGTTTTTAAAGACAGATCATTTAGAAGAAGACAGAGTAAGGGACTTGACAGCTTAAGATATCAACAGCAGGATACAGAACCTTTCACCGCTATTTCAAATACTGTGCAAGTCATTAGTAGCTGGACACTTCCCCCCTAAAAGCTGTAGATTGACTGACAAAGTAAATCAGTTAATAACTTTCCAAGACAGAAAAACTGCTATTATAATTAATGCCAAATGGCACTCTTGTGCCTACTTTTAGCATACCATATGAAGACTAAAGTACTGATCATCTCCAAGATCCCTTCAACTGAAGACTGAGGCACTGACAAAGAAATTGAGGGAAGTTTGCATTTCTGCTCATATTCTGTCAGTTGTGGGAGTAAAAGAAACGTGTAGCAACACTTCAAAACAGTGATTCTCAACCAGGGTGATGTCATATCATCTGAAAGGTGCTACAAGGCATGCGGAGATAGGCAGATAAGTTAAACAGCAAAAGGGGAGGCTCAGTCTTGTCCCTGACTGGCTAAACCATGACCCTCCACTGCCCAGCCTCTCTGCAAGGAGATGAGCACTGTAAATCACTTTTTGAAATTGGCATTCAATTCATAAAAGTTATAGAAGAGTGCCTGGAGTCCAGTGAGGAGTGCCCTGAGTTCAGAAAGGTTGAGAGAGTACAACAGCAGGGAAAAAACTCCCTTCCCACTTCTCACTCCACAGACTACAGAGTGAAAAGCAAGTAGAAGGCTTGCAACACCACTCCCTCTGCTCAGCTGCTATTACTGGGGAGCTGAGTGGATTGAGCCAAGTGGGGCCTAGACCCTTGCTCATTCCTCACACTGGGGCCTCCAGTGTTCAAGGACTTGGTGGGGAGCTGCTGGTATTGGCTTGGCTTCTCCCCTCTCTTCCCTGTCATTAGAAAGGCTAAAAGCAGCTGCTCCTATGCCTTCTCTGCACCAGGGTGACCCTGTATCTCTGGAAGGGACAGAAGCCTTTTCCTGCAGCTCCATTTCTCCTGGCCTCTTGGAGGAGTTAAGCTGTGGGAAAGTGTATAAACATTCATTCTCCTGGTTGGAGTCAGGTTATTTTTCTCCCAGAACCACAATTTTTTCTCTGAGAAAAAAGGCTGAAACACCTGTACACTCATGGTTTCTACCAGGAGAGCAGAGATTCTTCCTGTAGAAATAAAATGTCTGTATGTGGCCTCAGTCCTCCCTCTCAATATATAAATGTACACTTAATGCTTACTGGTCAGACACCCAATGAATCGTATCACATATTTCTGTCTTACAGAGACCATATTAATAGCACATAACTACACAGATACACTGTTGGATGAACAAGTCTGTAAGAAGTTGCACCAAATATTTACACTATTATTGTAATACTTAACTATTACACTAAACAAGTTTCCCTAAAAAAATCTGGTTCCATTTGGCAAGTATTTGCAATTTTTTTTAAAATGTATTAAGAGCATCAGTGTCTAAGGCCACATCTGTTGACAATAACCCATCATTCTGTGATGTTTAATCTTTAAAGAGCCACCAGAGGGAGCTCATACATGCTAAAACTGACAAGTGTATTAAAATAACTACATAAAGGCTAAAGTTAAAACAGGCTGAATGCAGTAACTTACGCTAAACTTTACAAATGGTGCTAATCAAGAAAAGAGAGATAGAGGTTAAAATAATTAAAAAAATAAGGACAAGCTTTCAGAAAACTTGAATATTTAGTCAATGAGCATTTCAACACAATACTTTTTTTTAAAAAAATCAACACACAGATTATTTTTATCTGTATGTAAGTTCAGCAGCATGTCTCGTCTCCACTCGGAGAAGAAATTTGGCTTTAAGAAACTACATGTTTTATAAATTTGATCCAGGCAGGTGCCAAGAATCCTTAACACACTTTTTAAATAAAGAAGTAAGTAATCACTGGAACAATTTATCAAGAAAGATGGAAGACTCTCCATTCTATTCAAGTCAAAACCTGATACCTTTTTGGAAGGAACATGTTAGTGAAATAAAAGTTACTGGACTCATTTATTATAATGGATAAATATATCATAAATAATATTTATTTGGACACATTACATTGGAAACTGGCTGAAATGTAATGACCTGTGATATAAAAGAGGTTGTATTAGATCAAGGGTGTCAAATATACAGTCCACAGGCTGGATTCAGCCCACAGAGCTAGGTGTCACAGCCTGCAGACTTTGCCCTGACCCTGGCTGCATTAAAGGACATTCCTGCAGCAGCAACCAAGCACCCACAATACTAGACCTCTTCCTGCAGAGCTGCTGGAACTCCAAGGCTGTTGTTTTCACTTGGGCACTTGGATGCTGCTGCATAAAGAAGCTGTGGTCTTGCTGGGGCTCTCGCCTGTATGGTTGCAGAGCACCTGAATGAAAGGAGCAGTACTGGAGCACCAGCAGCACCATGGAGAAAAGTCCACCACAGCAGCTTGTTCATGCAGGGGGAGTCAAGCACCCAGGCTTCTTCCCACCATGCCCCTGGTCAGCGGAGCAGACTCCATATATGACACGTGTCCTTGACCAGCCATGCATGGTGCCACATGCAACATAGTTCCATACCTGCCAGAGAAGGCAGGGCCTGCACTGGATCTGACATGCAGGGAAGTGGGGGAAGGCTCTGGGCCCAATCTTGCCCACAGGGCCAGACGTCATTCATCTGGCCAATGGACTGGTCCTATGCCACTGGACAGGGCGTGCTAGGTCAGATGAGTCAGAAACCCCTGGACTAGATGATATATTGATCCCTTCTGGTATTGAAAATGCATAAATTAAAAAAAACAAACACCTTTTGACTTCACTGCACTGAACCTAGGTCTATTAGCTGCAAAATTCTTCTACATTAAGCAGGTTGGAGTCTGCCTATAGAGAGTGCAGGTCTGTTTCCTTTCAATATTTCTCACATTCTTCAAGTTTGTGCCATATGGATACCCTATTTCATACCCTATGGCACATAAAAGAAAACATCTGAATACTGAAGTAAAAACTTTACTGAATAATAACTCTCAAAATTATGCCATTTAATTGTGAGGCACTAAGTTCTTAAGCTTTTAAGTACTACCTTCATCAACTGAACAAGAAATTTATTTTAGTTCCCACCTTGCATGATAAGCCACAAAAAATAGTTTCTTTAGTTCTAAAACTGTTTTCTAAATTAATTAGGTTAGCTTTATAACATTCCAGTATGAACAGCTACATAGGAATACAGAACTAACAGCAGAGCCACCAGAGGGAGGCTCATCAGCATTTTTGGCACTGGGGGAGGTCGTTGGGGCTTGCTGTGGCCTCTCAGTGCCAGTCTGGTGTTGCGGTGCCTTCAAATGCCAGTGCTTGTTCCCTCCTGCAGGAGCAACTGCCTACTTTTTATTAAGGGCCACAAAAAAGCCCTTAGCTCGTGCATGTTTGTCCAATGTGGCTCATGTGTCTTATAGTCATGCTCAGTGTTGGCTGCATTTAATCAACTTCCTAGTTGATTTCCATTGCTGAACACACAGTGCTTTTGGTAGCAGTTTAATAATAGACAACATATTTAGATTTCCTTGCATGTGATTATAAAGATGAGGGACTTTTTTTCTCCTTACCAACTGGGAGGAAAACTCTGTCTTTTGTTTGAGTAAATATGGTATTAGCCTGGGTGCAATGCCACACAAACAGGGCTATGCTGCTTCCTATATCAGAGCTAGGGCAGTGTATTTCTGCATGATGCAACACAGTCTGTATCTAACCATGGTACACTAGGCTAATAAGCCAAACTCTAAGACTCCTA